TTATTAGCCATCAGGGGAATTAAAATCAAAACCACATTGAGATACCACCTTACACCAGTTAGAATGGCCAAAATTAACAAGACAGGAAGCAACAAATTTTGGAGGGGATGTGGAGAAAGATGAACCTTCTTACACTGTTGGTGGGAATGCAATTTGGTACAGTCACTTTAGAAAACAGTGTGGAGATTCCTCAAAAAATTAACAGTAGAGCTACCCTATGACCCTGCAATTGCACTACTGAGTATTTACCCCAAAGATACAGATGTAGTGAAAAGAAGGGCCATATGTACCCCAGTGTTCAATAGCCACAATTGCCAACTGCAGAAAAAGCCAAGATGCCCTTCAAAAGACGAATGGATAAAGAAGACATGGTCCGTATATACAATGGAATATTATGCCTCACCAGAAAGTATGAATACCCAACTTTTGTATCAACATGGATGGGACTGGAGGAGATTATCCTGAGTGAAGTAAGTCAAGCAAGGAAAGTCAATTATCATATGGTTTCACTTACTTGTGGAACATAAGGAATAACATGAAGAACATTAGAAGAAGGAATGGAAAAGTGAACTGGGGGAAATTGGAGGGAGAGATGAACCATGAGACACTGTGGACGTTGAGAAACAAACTGAGGGTTTTAGAGGGGAGGGACTGGGGAGGACGGGTGAGCCTGGTGGTGGGTATTATGGGGGGCACGTACTACATGGAGCACTGGGTGTGATACATAAACAATGAATCTTGGAACACTGAAAAAATAAAACTAAAAAAAAATACAACACAATGCTGTGTTATCTCATACTCATTAGGATGGCTATTATCACAAAAACAAGCAACAATTAATAATGAAGGTGTGGAAGAAAGGGAATTCTTTCACACAGCTGTTGCATATGCAAAACTGTGCAGCCACTATGGAAAACAGTATTAAGGTTCCTCAAAAAATTCAAAACAGGGCACCTGGGTGGTTCAGTTGGTTAAGCGTCTGCTTGGCTCAGGTCATGATCCCAGGGTCCTGGGATCAAGTCCCACATCAAGATCCCTGTTCAGTGGGGAGTCTGCTTCTCCCTCTACCCTTCCCACCCTGCTGTGATCTCTTTCTTTCTCTCTCACTCAAATAAATAAATAAATAATCTTTTTAAAAAAATTTCTGTAAGAAAAATTAAATAGAACTATCCTATAATCCAGGAATCTCATTTCCTAGGTATTTAATTCATTCCTACGTATTTAATTTTAAGAAATGAAAATAGAGTCTTGAAGAGATTAGCATTCTTATGTTTACTGTAGCACTACTCGTGTATCCAAGGTGCGGAAATAACCTAAGTCACACTCAGTGAATAAATGGATTAAAAATGTGTCATACACATACAATGGCCTATCATTAGCCTTAAAAAAGAGCTAAATCCTGTAATATGGAACTATATGAATGAGGCATTACGTTAAGTGAAATAAACTAGTTATAGGACAAATACTGCATGATTCCACTTTATGAGGTATCTAGAATAACCAAACTCACAGAAGCACAGAATAGAATAGTGATAGCCAGGGCTGGGTGGAGAGGAAGAAATGGGAAGTTGCTGCTAATCAATACATTTACAATTTCAGTTATGCAGTATCAGTAAACTCTAGAGGTAAGTTGCGCAACACTGTGCTTGTAGATAACAATACTGTACTCTACCAGCACTGACAAGTCTGTGAGGGGCGGATGTCTCAAGTTAAGTGTTCTTACTACACACACAAAGATGCACTTAAAAAATTTTAAGACACATTACATAAAAATAAAAAGAATGTTTAACAATTGTGGACATAATATTGATCAAAATATTTAAAGTAATAATTTGCAGAACTAAAAGTAGACATCAACAGATCATTGGTAAAGTTGAAAATTTTAAGACACTCCTCCTCTAGTAGGTGAAATAAACAAAAATAGTAGATATATAAAAAATTTAATAGCAAAATTAACATATTTTGCCTAATTAACACATGTAGGACTATATACCTAAAAATACAAAATACTCAATCTTCTAAAATGCAACAAAAATAGAAAATTGAATGTACTCTGTTATCTAATTGCTTTCTATATATGGAAACAAATCTAATGAAACATCTGTAAGATTTCTAAAAATCTATGTAACATTATTGAAAGAAATTAAGCAAGAACTAAATAAATAGATATATATCATTTTAATGGCCAGAAGACAAACAATTTTAAAGATCTAAAAAAAACTCAAAAAGATTTTTTTTACTGAAATGATACTTTTCTTCAAAATGAAAAGGAAAAGAATATGTATGGAACCTCCTAAGATTTCATCTAAATTTGGGGGGTGGAGGAGAAACAAGTCTAGAACACAGGTTTTAAGAGACATCAGGAGAAAAAAATGCAATTGCTTACTGCTTGTCTCCTATTGAATACAACTCATTTAATAGAATAGTTGCAGTTTGTTAAAAGGAAGTTCGTAAATTCACCTTGAGAAGAAAATTAATCTTGACGCTAATCATGAAAAACGTGTCATATAGGTACTTAGAAAGCAATTAGATAACACAGTGTACTCAGTTAATTATAGTTTTATAGTTTCACAAAAAAGTACAGAAATATTCTTCAAATGCATATTTATTTTATTAATGCTGCACGAAAGCTGAAGGCATTTTAGCAAGGAAGTAAGGTAATTTAGTCAAGTGTATAACTTTCAATAGAGAAGAGTTCAAAGGCCTTAGAGCTGCAACAAAAAATAAATTGGAAAATGCTGGAGCTTTGCAATTGGACAGAACTTGATTTTAATTTAATCTTTAAGTCTTTGTGTCTTTATCTGTAATATCAGTCTGAATGGACTCCTTGAGGATTAAATGAAATAAACTCTAATACTGAAGTAGAGCATATGTTAGTTTCCTTTTCTTTCCTCTCATAGACCAATATTGTTACGATATCTAAGTCTAGACCACTGCCCTTAAGAATCACAAATAAGGGGTGCCTGGGTGGCTCAGTGGGTTAAGCCGCTGCCTTCGGCTCAGGTCATGATCTCAGGGTCCTGGGATCGAGTCCCGCATCGGGCTCTCTGCTCAGCAGGGAGCCTGCTTCCCTCCCTCTCTCTCTGCCTGCCTCTCTGTCTACTTGTGATCTCTCTCTGTCAAAATAAATAAAATCTTTAAAAAAAAAAAAAAAGAATCACAAATAAGCTCTGGTTAAGAGAAACATTCATGGGTGAAAATTCTGCTCAGTTGCTGAAATGTTACTTGAATTACTGGTTGAAAAGAGAGCCCTCTCATTTAGATACAAGTAAGAGTCAAATTCTGCTGTGAAACTGTAGAAAATGGATTTTTCTTCTTCCCTCCAGATGAAGGTTTCAACATGCTCTTGCAAATATTAGCCTCAAGGTGAGTAGGTCTGAGGGTGGGTGAATTTTTTTTTCCCAGAAAACAGAAAAGAGTTTTCAATCAGTTCAGGTCTTGGACCAATTTTGTTCCTGAAATCAGAGATGATGGCATTGTGCATTGAAAACATAAAATTGAAACTGAACTAAAAACTTTCTGTATGCTAATTTTTGATTCCCTGTTACTTATACATAGAATTTAACAGAGATGGACCGTGAAGACATTATGCTAAGTGAGGTAAGTCAGACAGAGAAAGACAAATACTATGGTATCACTTACATGTGGAATCTTAAAAAGCCTAACTTGTAGAAACGAAGAGTAGAATTGTGGCTATGAGGGGCTGAGGGGTGAGGGAATACAACAGACATTGGACAGAGGGTCCAATTTGCAACTAGAAGATGGATAAGTTCTAGATATCTAACACAGAGCACAGTGATTATATTCAATGCTGTATTATACACTTCAAAGTTACTTAGAGACTAATTTTAAATGCTCTCACCACAAAAAAGATATAAGAGTTATGTGGCCTAATAGATATATTTAACACTAAGGTGGTAATCATATTGAAATATAATAATGTATCAAATCAACATATTGCATACTTTAAACATACAAAATATTGTTTGTCAATTACATCTCAATAATTAAAGAAAAAAAACAAAAAAGAAAACTAAAAGCCTAGCACATCTTTTGAATGGAGAGAAAATCATTAAAGCAATATCAAAATTATCCAAACAGCTACTTAAACTGTCTCATTAGAACCAGTGGATTAATAAATGTGCTTGCAAGGAAGTGACGCACATTAGAAATCTATGTTGGCATGAGCAAATAATGGAAACCACAGACTTTCCGTGTTACAACCTGGAAGGGCCAACTATAAGGAAGTAAAGCAGAGAGAATACTTTAAACATGCAGCACCAATTAAGTTGAGTTTATAGTTTAATTTTTGTAACTAACCAGCAGCACAAGCCTTCTTGGCACAATTTCTCACTGCCAATAGAGAACATTATTATTATCAGTGTTGGTTAGTTAGGTGGAAAGGAGTTCTAACATAAAATTGGATATCATGAAATTTCATCAAAATTTTACTACTTTCCTAGCTCAGTTTCTTGCCATTAGCTACTTAGTTGTTTTGGGGAAACAGGATATGGCCTCAAATTCACCCAAGTAATGTCATGATTGAAGCTCTGAGAAATGGTGTCCATAAAGACCCTATTCTTCAGACAAAAGAACCAACAGTTAGCTAGATTAGAAGCAGATACCCTTTACCATGAAGAGCAGGCTTCGCCCTTATCATGTTGTGTAACTTGACATCCAAAATGATTCCTAAGATAAAAGGAAGATCTACAGGCAAATATATAGAGATCATCTCAAATACACACAAGAAAAACTTTGAATTAAAGTAACAGGAAAAAGTCTTTTGCAGGTTGATCATTAAGATCTGCCTAGATAAACCAATACATTAATAGAATGTAGATTTATATAATTTTTTTAAAAATCATACACATATAGAAACTTTATAATTATTCCACATTTTGAAAATCTATTAGGGCAGAAACATAATGACATTATAAAACTTCTAAAAAACAACTAAGTACATCTTTCATTCAACTTAAATTAGCTTAAAATAATCTTACCTGCGTAAAAAGTATAAACTGAGCAAACTGCCAGGGAAGCATAAAAGCAACATTGGAAAAACAGAGTGCAATATAATGCCTTCTATTATTGTTCGAGGTCCTTAATAGAGAGAATTGATACCGGTAAGTTTTACCATAAAAGTAGTCTATCACTAAACAGAAAAACTAACTGAAAAATGATGAAATCTAATGACCACTTACCTTTGATGTAAGATAACAAAATACAGTTGAATCTAAAGCCCATTAAGAAGAACTGAATATAACTGGGTTACAAAAAAACTTAGCATAAAACAATCTTACTTAGAGCTTTAAATATTGTAACTAGTTTATCAGTAAATAAGATACCTTAAACATTAAAGTTTCTTCTCCTTTCACTAATGCATGATATTACAAATTTAATACTCCAGCGATGTGGTCAGAAAACAGTGTGAACTGACCCTGCGTATCTCAAAATATGTAGCCTATACAAGCAGCAACAGTTTTACATACCACTGCTTTTAGATTTCAAAAAGCAATGAAGAAAATTCTAAGTGTTGGTGCCATATTAACAACTATGAGAACATTTTAAAGGAAAAAATTAAAATAATGACTGAAAAAGAATTCTAGAATGCAGTTACAAACTACTGCATATTGAAGTTTAAACTGTCCAGTCTGGGGTGCCTGGGTGGCTCAGTGGGTTAAAGCCTCTGCCTTTGGCTCAGGTCATGATCCCAGGGTCCTGGGATCGAGCCCCGCATCAGGCTCTCTGCTCAGCAAGAGAGCCTATTTCCTTCCTCTTCCTCTGCCTGCCTCTCTGCCTACTTGTGATCTCTGTCTGTCAAATAAACAAATAAAATCTTAAAAAAATAAAGAATAAAAAAATAAACTGTCCAGTCTGCAATGGAAAGATGTATCAATTAACCAATACCTTTTACCACAGATAGTTTTAGTGTCTTTTAGAATATGAAAAAAGAAATGTAAACATTTTGTGTAAATAATAAAACTGTAGCTGTTCTTTTTTATAAAAGGTGTACTCGATTTTTGATAAATCCTTATAATATGATATATAAATTTTCAAATGAAAAAACTTAAAAGTTCATATTGTTTAGGGATATTATCACAAAATATATTAAGTTCTCAGTTATCTTTTATTTACCAAACAAAGTGACTTTTGGTTAATCTACAGAGTATATAGCTTATGTACTCAAGGCTACAATCCTAAATGTTGTAGTTAACACATTTCATTCCATGAAACCCAACTGGTCAGACTAAAATCACTTCCTAAAATTAGAAAATAAACCATCTTTCCAGGAATTTAGATCACCTAAAACGTGTAGTCTAGACTCAGTGGAAAGAAATTTTTTACATAGTAAATTTAGATTATTTTCTCAACTGGATACTCTATTTTAAAGTAACTAAAAGGGAAAACTAAATTTAATAATTATAACTTAATAGGTTGAAGTATATTTTAAGAAACTTAACTTATAATTTATTTAGATTTATTTTATAAATAAAATCACCTGAGAATCAAAGTTAAAATGCACATCTGAAGTACAAGAAATGGATATGAAAAACTTTCCCGGAGAGGTGGTGTCCACATTACACGAGTAGCCTGAAATCAATAAAATATTTACTTCATTTTATGTTCCATTGCAATAAATATTAATCTAAAAGTCATTAGTAGGCTGTTCAAATAATTTTAAAACTAGGCTCATTAATTTCTGAATGCCTGGGATAGCTTCTCCGTTTCTGGAGCTCTCTTAATGGGCATATAGGCATTAGGTAGAGAGCCATTAACTAGCAAGACCAGACACAAGAACGCCAGACGTAAGAAAACCTAAAGGACAAAAAAAGGTGGTAGTTATAGGAGTGGTGAGGATTTTGGAAATGAAAAACCAGATGCACATTTCAGCTCTGCAGTGAGGACACTCGCATCCCAGGGCTTTGGCATGTATGTATGCCCAGAAAAAAATCTAACCAGGTATCACTTAGGGCATTCGAAAACACCAAGAGAGTTTATACATAACAAGTTTAATGAGTATAGACACACACTACAAGTAATTAAGATTGTGTCTGAATTTGTGAAATATGCCTTTAAAAGAGTTAACTGTAAATTTCTAAAAACAACTGAAAGTATTTTGAAATCACTAATGTGATACATAAATGAAAGTACTGACACTTTGTATAGACTTTAAAACTAATTATTTCTAAAATGTAAGTGAGAATACTATAAAAGTTTTGTATCAATAATTCTAAAATTCTAGAAAGAGTTAAAACTCTTATAAACTCTTATTACTCCTCTTCCAAGAAACGAAAACTAAATTTTAAAAGATGAATTATGGTATGTATAAGAAAGTTAATTCATCTGGCATACTCAAAGATAAGATTTTGTCTTTACATGAACATATTGGTAAGTGACAATGCATTTGTTTAAGTTTATATATTTATGTATGTATAATTTCTTTGATTCCTTTGCCTGATTTTCTAAAATTCACCAATTATTTACCTTTCCTAGAAGTAATGGATAAAAACTTCAATCCTATGTAACCTGTTCCACAACATATTACATATTTTGTTTTCAAAAGCTAGTAGTCATACTCTCTCACTTTTCACTGCCACATCTCAATCCCCGAACAGGATCCAGCACAGGTTACATATTCAGTATATTGCTGAATGAATCTAACATATTCTAGATAAGTTTCTATGTGTTCTTTGCAGGTGAACTATATCCCATTTGACTGGGTTAGTAAATTTCTATTTTGAGTTCATCATGTTGTGTAATTGTAATTGAAAAGGCAGCACATGATGTAATAGAAGGAAGCAAGGTTTTAAAGCCAGACAGATGGAGAACTGAAGCTCAGTTTCACTAGATTTTGAATTTGGAATCTTGTATGAGTAACATAACAACTATAAATTTCAATTTCATATCTTCTACTCGTAAGGATAATAACCACCTTCCATAAAAGTGTGGTAGGAGTAAATGAGATAATGTTTATATAAAGTGCCTGAATTCAACAGGTACAGTATTTCCTTTTCAGCAAAATACAGTATTTGGTTTTTCTACAAAATATAGGTACACTAAAAATCAAGCAAGATATTTCATTCATAAATTCTATTATGTAAAAATGTGGACAAACATGATTAAAATATGACTATTAACATAAAATATTGCTAAGTCCTAAATAACATTCAATTATATATTGTATTGATGAATATATTTCCTTGTTCTTATACAGCACCTTCTATCTTAAAAATTGTTTTCTAGAAAACAAACCTCTCCATGGTTGAAAAAGTAGCACAAAACTGTAATTAGACCTCCAAGTTGAGTCCCACTGTTAAAAAAAGAGTATACATTAATAATTAATAAAATATAGTGTTTTACAAAATTACCTTAGAATTTAAAGTCATATTTAAATGCTATAGTACTAAACCATGTAAAATAATGCCAAAATTTCAGAAGTACACATGTAATATTTTAATCTTGAATGTATAAGTATACAAAGTATACATATAAAATAATCTGAATTTTATAATTTGTTGTATTTAAGGGGAACCCTCTTACACTGTTGGTGGGAATGCAAGTTGGTGCAGCCACTTTGAAAAACAGTGTGGAGATTCCTTAAGAAATTAAAAATAGAGCTACCCTATGACACTCCAACTGCACTACTGGGTATTTACCCCCAAAATACAGATGTAGTGAAAAGAAGGGCCATCTGTACCCCAATGTTCATAGCAGCAATGGCCACAGTCACCAAATGGTGGAAAGAACCAAGATGCCCTTCCACGGACAAATGGATAAAGAAGATATGGTCCATATATACTATGGAGTATTATGTATCCATCAGAAAGGATGAATACCCAACTTTTGTGTCAACATGGATGGGACTAGAGGAGATTAAGCAGAGGGAAATAAGTCAAGCAGAGAAAGTCAATTATCATATGGTTTCACTTACTTGTGGAGCATAAGGAGTAACATGGAGGACATGAGGAGAAGGAGAGGAGAAGTGAGTTGGAAGAAATTGGAGGGGGAGATGAACCATGAGAGACTGTGGACTCTGAGAAACAAACTGAGGGTTTTGGAAGGGAGGGGGTGGGGGGATGGGTAAGCCTGGTGGTGGGTATTATGGGGGGCACGTATTGCATGGAGCACTGAGTGTGGTGTATAAACAATGAATCTTGGAACACTGAAAAAAGAAAAGAAATGAAAATGATTTCTTAAAGTTGCCTTTTCTTCAGATATTGTCATCACTGTATCCACAGCTTTACACTTGGAAGATAATAAATACCCCATGAATGATGGAAGAACAGAAGGAATGAGCTCAAAACAAGCAAAGCTAATGGGAAGTGATTTACCATTAATAGATTTTCACTAAAGGAAATTCAAAGGATGCCTTTGAAAAGGAAGAAATTGCGAGGAGGAAGGTGTTAGAAGCAAAACAACTAACTGCAGCCTATAGAATGTAGGATCATGTGGATATAAATCTAAGCAAGATTTGACAATATAAACAGCAATAATAGTGCCTGCTGTGGAAGGGTAATAGAAGCACTTAACTATGATAATAATTTTAAGATGTGAGGGGCTATTTTGAAGCAAATTGTCCTAAAATTCTTTGTACTGATTAGAAAATCAGTACAAATCAATCAATTTTGGACTTGATCGATAAAGTCAGATATGCATGTTACCATTTTATCATTAACCACCAAAAGAATAGAAATGGGAAATTTTTATTCTTCTTTCCAGGTTAGCTCCAACAGGAGAGAGTGGCCAGGGTAAGATATAAAAATTTACCCCCAATTCCTATTTCTTTTGTTTCTCATATGCCATCACTTTCAATCTCTTCACAGTTTTGGCAACACTTTTATAACCAACATTTGTTATATCTACATATCCTTCTCAAAGACTGGAGCCCAATAATGTATTGATATTACAGAACTGTGTAGCCAATTTAGAGAAGACCATCACCTCCTGAGGAGCTCTCCCAATGAAAAATATTAGTTAAAAAAAAATTTAGTCTGTGTAACATTTCTGTATTTAAAAAAAGCATAATATGAAATAATTTCAAAAATAGAACATTTTAAAGCCTGCCAACATAATCTAAAAGTAATTCTTTTCCCTCAAAATGCTGATGAGTTTATATTTTCCTATAAGGCATACATAAGAAAGTACATAAAATTTTCTAGTTCCTAGAACAATTATGGAGTGAACATACTTGTAACTAAAAGCATAATTATCATTGGAATCAAAAATTGATCACACCCTGAGTCCCCATGTGACACCCCTTCAGAGAGCCACTATCCTGATTTTTGTGATTATTAACATAACCACATCTATACACATATAGATACTATGATTTAATCATTCTTAAACTTTATACAAATGGAAGATGCATCTTTTAAGTTTGTGCTTACCTTCATCATTCAACACTATATTGTTAATATTTGTCCATGTTGATGTGTGTAGCTATAGCTCACTCATTCTCAATATTCTATAGTATTCCACCGTATTAACGAACTGTAATGTGTACATTTCTCTGTTGTTAGACATTTGAGTTGTTTCCAGTTTGCAGCTGTTACAAACTATGCTGTTATATTCTTGTACATACTTCCTGGTGTATATGTACAAAGTTTCTTAGGCATATGTATACTTACATATCTATATGTATTAGTATAATTGATACACAATGTTACAATAGTTTCAGGTATGCATCATAACGATTCAACATCTCTATACTTATGCTGTGTTCCCAAGTGTAGGTACCACCTGTCACCACATAATGCTATTACAATGCTATGGACTATATTCCCTATGCTGTACCTTTCCTCCCTGTGAATTATTCATTCCATAACTGGACGCCTGTATCTCTCACTCCCCCTTCCCTATTTTGCTCATCCCCTCTCCCTTCCCCAGTGGCAACCACCAAGTTTGTTTCCTTTATTTATAAGTCTATAAACTTTAAATAGGAATTGCAGAGTTAGAAGATATCTACACCTTCAACTCTACTAAATTATGCACAGTTTTCCCAAAATAATTGTACTAATTTATATGTCCATCTGCCATGGATAAAAGTTCTTTTTGTCAATCTAGTACATATAAAATAGTATGTTGTGGTTTAAATTTGTATTTTTCTGATAATTAGTGATGGTGGTCAACTTTACAAATGTTTATTGGCAATTTGGAATTCTTCTGGTATATATCTGATCACGAATATTTTGTCTACTTTTCTATCGGGTTGTCTGTCTTCTTAGTCTTTGTCTACCCTCTAGAATATATATATTCCATGAGGACAGAGATTGTTTGTATTCCTGGCACCTAGTGTAGTGATTCTGGTCACAGTAAGCATTAAATAAATTAATTAAATCATTGAATTAGACTGTAATGTCTGGATACCATGTTGGGCATATACTTTGCAATGTTTTCCCAGTCTGTGGCGTATCTTTTCATTGTATAGTATATCTTGAGGAACTTAAATTCTTCCTACCAAATTTATTAGTTTTTTTCTTCATGGCAAAACTTTTCTTAAGTTTTCTTAAGTTCAAAAGAATCTTTTCTTACCTCAAGTTGCTGGTATTCTTCCATATAACATTCTAAGCATTTTATAATTTTGTCTTTGTATTTTTTAATCTAACTAGAATTTAATTTTCATATAGTTCTAACTTCTCTGTTTCTTATGATCTTCCAATTATTCCAGCAGCATTTATTGAGAAAATGGTCTTTACCTACTGATGTGCAATATTCACCCTATCATATACCAAGTGTTTTTAAATGCAACAAGTGTTTCTGAGATCTGCTTTATTCCACTGATCTACTTGTCTAATCCCTATGCCACAATCACATTGCCTTATTTACATCAGTTTTATAATCAGAAATGATTACTAAAGCTAGTCCTCCTATCTTGTTCAGAATGTCTCCATTATTTTAAGCCCTGTGCATTTCTGAACAATTTTAAAATTGGTATTTACCAAGGCAAACAAAATTGGCAATGTATTGAATCTACAAATCAATTCAAATAACTCTCAACTTTTAAATATTGTCTTCTAATCCATGAATTATTTATAGTTAGTTATATCTCCATTTATTTAGATCTTCCCAAAAGTCTCTCAATAAAGTTCTACAATTTGGGGCGCCTGGGTGGCTCAGTGGGTTAGGCCGCTGCCTTCGGCTCAGGTCATGATCTCAGAGTCCTGGGATCGAGCCCCGCATTGGGCTCTCTGCTCAGCGGGGAGCCTGCTTCCTCCTCTCTCTCTGCCTGCCTCTCTGCCTGCTTGTGATCTCTCTGTCAAATAAATAAATAAAATCTATAAAAAAAATAAAAATAAAAAAATAAAGTTCTACAATTTTCCCAAAGAGGAAAAAGAGGTCATATATATTTCTTGTCAGATATTTATCAAAAACTTTATGCTTTCAATACTCTTCTAAATGACATCCTTTTAAAATTTCACTTAAAAAACAAAGTATAGATTTATAATGTCTGCATACTAATTTTTGTATTCAGTAAAATTATAAATTCTTATTATTTTAATACTTTATCTATAGTTTCTTTTGAATTTTCTACATAAAATCATGTGATCTGCTTTTAAGGAAAGACACTTGTTTCTTTTTTTCAAGTTTTCCAGTCTTTATACTTACTACTACTTTTTCTTGACTTACTGTGCTGGATAGGATACCTGGTACGATGTTGCAATGTTATAATTTTTTATTGGTACTACGCTAGTATTTTTATGCTGAAAACTTCCTAAAATAAGAAGTGTGTATCTACATTAATGTCTATATAGACATAAAGCCTACAAAAACCCAATATGAAAACTCAATACTTACTGAAAGATTAGATCTAGATTTTTAACTTTAAATGTTGTGCAGTTCCAGAATAACATTATAAAGAAAGCTGATGATCAGTTAGGAATATATTCTGCTGCAAGAAACAAAACCTAACAAAAGTGGCTTAAATAACATGGATGTTTATTATATCATTCAACAAGAAAATGAAAGGTAAGTGTCTGTTGGCACTGGTTCAGCAGCACAAGGACATTAGGGCAGACTTATGTTATGTTTATGGCCTTTCCCTCATGGTCACAAGATGACTGCAGCAGCTCCAGGTATAACACACTTAAGTTCAAAAGCAGGGGCAGAGAAGGGGCAACGGAAATCTGTCCTTTTGTGAGACAGAAAAATGCTTTCCTAGGTGTAAACAAAACCGATTTCACCATATTTTTCACTGGAAAAACTAGCTCATATGCCTATCTCAAGAAGCAATGGAGAGTGGGAAGCAAAATATGATTGTCATAATTAACTTCAGCCTATCATCTGAGACTGGACATATTGCTACCCCAAACCAAATTGTGGTACTATTAACAACAAAGACAGGCTATCAAATATAAGTGTCTGCTACAGTGATACACATTTTCCTCTACTGCTTTCTTAATTTCACATGTACAGACATTAAAATTAGAAATAACCTGCCACTAATGCCAACCAAAGATTCCCCTAACATTATAATAATTTTACATATTGTCTAGAAGTATTCTCATTAAAAACTTTGTTAAGGAATCTTCATTAGTTTTAAAAAAATCCCCACAAGGGTAAGAGAGAGGCCTTTAAGATATTTTAGTGACAGCTCTAATTTCTGATTGCATGACATTAGCTAAGTTTCTGAAAAAATAAATTTATAAAATTTCCTATTAATCAATTAATCTCATAATTATCCTCATCATTTAATCAGAAAATGTCAGCCAGTCCTTATAAGCCCACTGAAATATCTCTTAATACAGTAATCTTACCTCAGGTATGCACCATATAAGAAGAACAATCCCATCATTATTCCATTTAAAATAAAAATCACAGCAACATAAAAACAAGCAGGGTCTCCCAATCCTTTAAAAAGACACAGATTATTCAGTATTTAATGAATAAAAGACTATAAAGCAATCAGGCATAATTATCTCAGTGCTTTGTAATCAAGGGTTCATGAACTTGTTGAAAACATTTGCTGTTCAGAGTGCTGAGCAGCCCTCTATTTAATAGTTACATTAGTACTTTCCCCTTACCTAAGGTATTATTATACTGTAATGATTAGTTGGTGCTTCACTTTGTTTAGGTGATGCTATTGTTCAGTGTCTAGAACTCTCTGTGGAGTCACTGCATGCATTACCGGAGAAAACCCACTGCATTATTTTTATCCTTTGCTAGGTTTTAGGATGAATTAAGATTTGGCCCCTGACGTCAAGGAGCACATTAAGTCTATATGAGATGACCTAATTATTTGATCCATTACTACGTATGGATAAACCTTAATTCTTAATATATCCCATGTATAAACCTGTGTGTGTGTGTGTGTGTGTGTGTGTGTGTGTGTGTGTTAGTAAGAAAATACTCTTACTACTGACTGAGATAACAGAACACAGAAAACTTAAATAGCTTGCCAAAAATTATTCAGGTGTAACTGATGGAGCCAAGATCTGAAGGATGGCTTTTGTGATTCCTTCTATTGTAATAACTTCATGACACACCACCCCTCTTCCCTGTTAGATCACCTTAAGTTCTGTCATAGGCCCTCTTCTTTTCTTGGTCTGCATATTCTCCTTAAAAAATTCTTTAAAAATATTTTTACTTATTTTATTTAAATTCAATCAGTTAACACATAGTGTATCATTATTTCAGTTGTAGAGTTCAGTAATTTATCAGTTGCATATTAACACCCAATGCTTATTACATCACGTGCCCTCATTAATGTCCATTACCCAGGTAACCCATCTCTTCCACCTACCCTCCAGCAACCCTCAGTTAGTTTCCTACAGTCAAGAGTCTCTTAAGAGGGTTTGTCTCCCTCTCTGATTTTGTCTTATTTTATTTTTCTCTCTCTTCCCCTTCTGATACTCTGTTTTGTTTCTAAAATTCTACAAATGAGTGAAATCATATGATAACAGTCTTTCTCTGATTGACTTATTTTGCTCAGCATAATATCCTCCAGTTCCATTCATGTTGATGGAAATGGTAAGATCATCCTTTTTGATAGCTGAGTAATATTTCATTGTATGTGTGTATATATATATATACACATACATACATACATACACACTATATCGTCTTTATCCATTCATCTGTCAGCGGACATCTGGGCTCTTTCCATAGTTTGGCTATCGTGGACATTACTGCTATAAATATTGGGGTGCAGGGGCCCCTTTGGATCACATTTGTTCTTTTTGGGTAAATACCTAGTAGTGTGCAATTGCTGGGTCATAGGGTAGCTCTATTTTCAACTTCTTGAGGAACACCCATACTGTCTTTCAGAGTGGCTGCACCAGCTTGCATTCTTACTAGCAGCGTAACAAGGTTCCCCTTTCTCCACATCCTTGCCAACATTTGTTTCCTGACTTGTTAGTTTTAGCCACTCTCCACAATGCAGGGATAGAGGAAACATACCTCAATATCATAAAAGCCATATATGAAATGCTTCCACAGAGAATATCATTCTCAATGAGGAAAAACTGAGAGCTTTTCCCCTAAGGTCAGGAACACAATAGGGATGTCGACTCTCATCACTGCTGTTCAATATAGTACTAGAAGTCCTAGCCTCAGCAATCAGACAACAGAAGAAATAAAGGGCATCTGAATTGGCAAAGAAGAAGTAAAACTCACTCTCTTCACAGATAACATACTTTACGTAGAAAACCCAAAAGAGTCCATCCAAAAATTGCCAGGTCTCATACGAGAAACCTTAAGGAAATTCTTATACTTCCAAGGCTCCAATGATCATCTGTACACAGATGACTCCAGGTTTAGAGTCAGACCAGAACTTTCTTCTTTCTATATGTGTCCAGGCAGGTGGTCTCTTGACATCTCCACTTTGAGGTCTCCCAGGTACTTCAAACTACTGTAGCAATTCAAACCTGCTACTTTTAAAATGTCTTTACCATTTGAAGAAACTCGATTACTTAAGCCAGAAACCAGTGTTACATGACTGCACCCTCCTTCCCCTCTCTCAACAATCGATTACCAAATCTTGTCAATTCTGCTTCTAAAATCTCCCAAATATCTGCATTTCCCAGTTATTTGTCCTGCAGTCAGCTGCTGAGAGCATAACAGTCTTCCTTCTGTTATCACTGAACCCACTTTTGTCTTTTACTAATATCTTTTCCATATAACTGGCAAAATAATGTTTTTTAAATACTAGCTTATGAAAATCCCTCAATGAATGAGAAAATCCTTAGCCTGCAAGTGGCCTTTCCTTTTCTGACCCTCGCTTACATGCCCAGCATCGTTTCACAACATTTTTCCCTCTTTCTCTGCACCCAGAAGTCTAGCCTTTTTTCAGTTTTCTCTCATCTTGGGACTTCTGAATATTCTTGTTCTTATTCTTTAGACACTTCTCCCTTACTGCTAACCTTAACAACCTCATTTTCTTACTTGTAATATCCATCAAGTATTACTACCAATCCTCTTCTTATGTGTAAACTCTATGAGGGTGAGGTCCGTGTCTACCTGGGTCAACCTGATTCCAACAGCAAATACTAACCTATCACTTTGTAACAACTTAATAAATATCATATATGTACATATATACAATTAATGACAAAAAAGCAACATTTTAGAAAGAAACATGCCTTCACAGCTTTGAACTTCATTTAAAGGTTCTACCCTGGTGACATTCCAGCAGGTCTTAGCTTCTAGCCCAAATAAATTCATTATTCCCACAAATATGCGATACCAGAAGGCTATAATCACCTACAAAGACAAAAACAAAAAGAGATGATAGAAGAAAAGATCCTATCTTCATAATAATTTTTCCAAAATACTATTTTATAATGTTTTCCTTTGACATTATAAATTTTGACAAATTTATTTAAATCATTTCACTTGGAAAACATCATTTAAAAATTATATATATATATATATATATACATACACACACACACTAAAGTTGTATATTACTAATTAGTGAATTAGTGCACATCTACGAAAATTTGTTATGATCACCATCTCTGCAATATATTCTTGTCATCAATTCTATAACATAAATAACAGTAGCTATAAAATAGGTAAATAGCATATAATTAAAACATGATGGTGATTAACAGGAAAATACAATGATTTATAGGAATATTTCATAACATTTCATTTATTGAATTTATTTGCGACACGGACTAAAAAATATAAAACCAATTGCATATGGAATAATAGCTCCTGTGCCCATTAAAACTTTTTTTTTTCAGCATAACAGTATTCATTGTTTTTGTACCACACCCAGTGCTCCATGCAGTCCGTGCCCTCTCTAATTAATACCCACCACCTGGTTCCCCCAACCTCCCACCCCCCCCACCTCTTCAAACCCTTCAGATTGTTTTTCAGAGACCATAGTCTCTCATTGTTCACCTCCCCTTCCAATTTCCCCCAACTGCCTTCTCCTAACTCCCCATGTCCTCCATGCTATTTGTTATGCTCCACAAATAAGTGAAACCATATGATAATTGACTCTCTCTGCTTGACTTATTTCACTCAGCAAAATCTCTTCCAGTCCCACTAAAACTTTGACCAAACAGGTTTAATTAACCAATTCTTCCCATTCTGCAAACCACTTTGTGAAGTTTAAAGAAAAAGGGAAAAGAACAACCATAGAAAACTACAAACAAAATGCTCATGCCTAGGAGATTTGGGAAAAATTTATAGATTTGGGAAAAATAATGCAAGATCATTGGGAAAAGAATAAAAAATAAAATAAAAATAGAGTTCAAAGTGAAAGCAAAAACCACCCAGCACTAACTATTTTTAATATGTTGGTCATCACCCCTCCATTCTTGCCCTTGGTATGTAAAAAACACATAGCTAGATCTAGTTTTCAATAATATTATATAAGATGTTATTGTAATACACAACACCAAACATCATAAACATCTATCCATGAACAAAAAGTATAAATTTATTATTTTATCACTTTTACAAACTTGACCTTATATAAAAAATTGTAATATATATTCTACGTATTTATCATCCATGTATAAAAACTTACCATATTAAATGTATGTTCTAAATCTAGAATTATATTCCTTTCTGGAAATTAGTGTGATATAATAAGAAAGCACTGCTTTAAAGTCAGAATTGAGTCGAATTCTGACTCTGTTATCCTCTGACTCTTTTGATATCCTCAAGAAAATCCTTCAACCTTTGAACCTTGGCCACCTCATTTCTAAAATGATGTTAACAATAACCATCTTGTAGGAGTGCTGGGGGATTAGAGCTTACATGCCAGCATGTAGTTAAGCCTTAAATGCTTTGCCTTTTCAAAATATATTATTCCAAATTTAACTCTTTATCTTTGGGAAAAATTAATCTCCTTATGAACACAAAAAGTATGGACATTCATTTCAACATTGAAGTACCATATCAGGTTGCAAGCATAACTAGATCTTCTCCATACTGTATCTATGCAATGTGAAATAAGACTGAATGATTCCTTCTTGCTTCATCCTTTATGATACTATCTATTTATGATATCATGATTACTTTTCCATAACATCAAGGAGATTGAAAACTGCTAATTATTCAGTATCTTTGAATAAGTAAAAAGAAAAAAAATTAGCTCATGTCTTGGAGAACATACTGTTAGAAATTAATGGGACAAGAAATAAGCATTTTATTAAAGTTCTAAAAATAGCCCTAAAACTAGTGTAATAAGCTAAATCTTCATCTTACATACACAGAATAAGTCAACATTAACTAAAATTGAAGATTCGAGAAGTAAGTTGTCTTTTAACTTTTGCACTTACACCAGGGTCCTACAGAAGAATCATCATCACAGGAAACAAGAACAGAAGAGTGTCTCTGAAGTGTAAGCTGGGATATAAAGAAAGCTGGTGCAGAAAACAGCTTCCTTCATCTTAGATCTTAGGTGTATACTACACAGTCGTTACTACTGAAAATTACCTTGAAAAATACTTACAGAATAAAAAAAGGGGAAGACACCTGGGTGGCTCAGTCCTTTAAGCATCTGACTCTTGATTTTAGCTCAGGTCAGGATCTCAGGGTCATGAGATCAAGTCCCACTGTCATGTTCCACACTGGGCATGGAGCCTGCTTAAGATTGTCTCTCTCCCTCTCCCTCTACCCCTCCCCTGTCTTTTTTCCCTTTCTAAAAAACAGAAATAAAAGAAATTTAAATAAAGAAATCTGGGAAACACCCAACTACTTGGAAATTAAGCAACATAATACCAAATATCCAATAGATCAAAGAGAAAAATCACATGGGAAATTAGAAAATAACTTGAACAGAACAGAAATAAAAAGCAATATATAAATAGTTAAATAACATGAATTTCTGCTTTGGGAGAGATGGAGTAGATATACTTTTTGTTGTTTCTCCTGGAAATTACATAAATCAAATATAAGAAGACCCTGAAAGGTAGAGAGAAGGCAAACCACCTAGGGATCTTAGGACCCAAAGAACAACATGGTGATACGTTTTCTGGATTTTACTTTTACTTCATTTTGAGATTTGGAGTTAAAGAGCCTGAAAACCAGAAATACCAAACCAACCAGACACAAAAAAAGACTGACAAAAGCCTGTTCTCTCTACCTAAAGGACCAGGAAAGTGGCAGCCTGGGAATACATAAAAATGTTATAAACAATTTTCTCTCTCTTCACCCAAATAGCACAGAAAACAACAAAAACCTATAAGGTCCCACCCTCACCAACAAAGGTTAAATTGGGAACCTAGACTTCAACCTTCTCTAAGCTTTTAACAAGTCATCTTAATTCACCCACTAAGATGTTGCAACAGAAAGCCAAGAAGGAAGCTCTCTATCTCCATGGTGTCAGTATAGACTATGTGAGGAGCTTGGACTTCTACCCCAACCAGCAATAAGCCATTCTTTCCCCCTCCCAGTGTGGTAATGTCAGAGGAGGCCTACTGGAGTCAGGGCTTTCATAACCACTCTGGGGTAACCAGGCTATCCACACAGTGGTGTCTGTAGAGATCAGAGTTGGTCAGAGCTCTGATCTCACTCAAAGGTAATGAGGAATAAATACTTCTACCTTGGGATCAGCAGAGGCTGGGAGAGAAACCTGAACTTTGATACCCATCTGGCAATAACTGGATAGCAGACATCCTCATTTCTTTGCTGGAGTGATGCCAAAGAAAGCCACTTAAAACTAAGGTTTAAATAAAACCAGTTTCATAAAATAATGTACATATATCCATCAGCTGATGGACATTGATGTCCAATATGATGAAACTCACTCATCATATCAAGTACTATAAAGATTTCAAACTGAATGAAAAAAAAAGAGATTCCAACAATGAGATGACAAAAAATTAGAATAATTGCTCCAATTAGAAATTATGAATGTGCTGGAACAAAAACTCAAAAAGTCTCAGGAAAGAAATAGAAGATATGAAAGAAACAAACAAATATTTCAGAACTGAAAAATACAATAACCAAAACTAAAACACAGTGGATGGGCTTAACTGATGAATGAAAGGATAGAGGAAAATAATCCATGAACTCGCAGACAAAGCAATAGAATTTGCCCAATCTGGGAAACAGAGAAAAAACAGATTTGATAAATAAATAAATAAGGTTCCCTAGGAACCTCTGGGACTATAAGAAAAGATCTAACATTTGTTCTCACTAAAGTCTTGAAAAGAGAAAAGAAGAAACCAAAGCTGAGCAAAACAAAAATAGGATAAAAAACAAAGAAATCCACACCACGACAAATCACATTTTTTAAAATGTTTAAACATCACATTTGTGAACACTTGTGAAAACTAAAAAAATAAATAAATCAGTAGGTAGATATATAAAATAGCAACAAGGAAGAAAAAAAATCTTACCTAAAGGAGAAAAACAATTCAACTGACAATAGATTTCACATCAGAAGCTGTGAAAGACCAGAGTGAAGTAGCATATTTAACAAATGCTGAAAGAAAAAACCTGTCAACCTAGAATCCCATATTCGGCAAATAAATAAATAAATAAATAAACAACCTTCAAGAATTAAAGAGAGTTTGACATAAAAGATGAAACAAAACTAGTAAAGTATGTTTCTAGCAGACTTAGCCTAAAAGAATGGCTAAAGAAAATTCTCTAAACAGAAATGAAATGATAAAAGACGGCATCTTAGAACATAAGGAAGAAATTTTAAAAATGGATAAGATAAACTTCTTGAGTTTTTTTTTCCAAAGATTGTATTTATTTATTTGACAGAGAGAGAGATCACAAGTAGACATAGAGGCAGGCAGAAAGAGAGGGGGAAGCAAGCTCCCCATTGAGCAGAGAGCCCAATGTGGGGCTCAATCCCAGGACCCTGAGATCATGACCTGAGCTGAAGGCAGAGGCTTAACCCACTGAGCCACCCAGGTCTCCCGACTTCTTGAGTTTTTTAAAAATAACTTTGAAGACTAAAAGAAATATCACAGTACTGTCTGATGTGGTATTAAATGGATGTATTTAAGATGATTATATTATAAAAGGAGAAGGGTAAAGAGAGGTATACTTGATATTAGCCAAAAGGCAGAGAAGCAATGAGGGTAAAGAGATGTAAAGACAGGTAAGTTTTCTGTACCTTATTTGAGCTAGTAAAATGATAACAGCAGTAGACTGTAGTAGTTATGTAAAGTTATGTATAGGTAATATATCTAATACATAGCTATAACAACTAAAAATGCTACATAAAGTGATACATTCAAAAAGGATAGATAAAATAGAATTTAAAAATCTTCAAATAACCCACAGGAAAGCAGAGAAAAGAAGAGATAAATGAAAAACAAAAGACAAACAGAAAAAATAAAAGACTGAAGCTGAAACAGATTAATAATTACATTATGTGTAAGTCATAAAACACAACAAATAAAAATGTAATATAGACAGATTAAAAAACATGACTCAACTATAAGAAACAGACTTCAAATATAAGGATAAAGGCAGGTTGAAAATAGAAGGATGAAAAACATATCATGTACATATTAATCAAATGAAAAAAGTTTGTTACTATCAAAAAATTAGACTTCAAGGCAAACAAAATTATAAGCAAATGGGGTAGGGTTATTATATATTGATAAAAATCTAACAAGAGGATGTAGCAATACTAAATGCAATGTGTACTAAACACACTGTTATAAAATATATGAAGAATAACTGACAGACCTAAAAGGAGAAATAGATGGATCCAGAACTATAGTTGGAGACTTTAGTATCCCTCTCCCAACAATGGATGGATTATCTAGACAGAAAATCAAAAGGATTGAGAAAATATCACCACCACTATCATTGCATAGGATCTAGTCAACATTCATAAAATACTTTACTCAATAATGACATAAAATGGAGCTTTTTCAAGTGCTCACAGAATATGTCAAGATGAACCATATTCTGGGCCATAAAACAAACCTCAATAAATTTAAAAGAATCAAAATGATACAAAGTATATTTTCTAAACACAATTTTTTTAAAATATTTTATTTATTTATTTGAGAGACAGTGAGAGAGAGCATGAGAGGGGAGAATGTCAGAGGGAGAAGCAGTCCTTGCTGAGCAGGAAGCCCGAGGCAGGACTCAATCCCGGGACTCCGGGATTATGACCTGAGCCGAAGGCAGTAGCTTAACCAACTGAGCCACCCAGGCACCCTACGCACAATGAATTTAAGCCACAAATTAGTAACACAAAAATAAACAGGAAATCTCCCAATACTTGGAAACTAAAAAAACCCACTTTTAAAAATCCATGAAGCAAGGGGCACCTAGCTGGTTCAGTTGATAGAGCATGGGACTCTTGATCTTGGGGTTGTGAGTTCAAGCCCTGCACTGAGTGTAGAGATTACTTAAAATTAAAAAAAAAAAGTTTTTTAAAAAATCCATGAATCAAATAGAAAATCTCAAGGGAAATAAAAATATACACTAAATTGATTATTAATGAAATACAAAGTTTTCAAGTCCAGCATCTTAGAAGCTTATTAGTTGCAACTCCATCCTAACAAGTAAAAAGCTGAACAAACTGAAAAATGAGCAACTCTTCTTAGATTCCTTCCTTTGACTTTATATAAGCAGATTCTGGCATCTTTAAAATTTAAGAGGAATTTTTGATACTCTGCCCAACTATAAGGACACATACAATCAATAAGCCTTAAAGGTTCCCTCCTTTTTATAACATCACTGTATTCACTATTTTTATGACAAAAAAGGATCATTCTACAAATATTTTTCCCCAAACAGTACTCACCTCTGGATAAAGATGGAAGCGTTTCACTGTATTAATTACAAGGGGATATTCAGTAAGCCTGTCATTCATTATCATCCAGAGTCCTTCCAAAAACGATGGTGCTTCAATAATGGTCTTGAAGTAGGAATAATAAAGTCCCTTAAAAATGCACAAATTGTTGATGTAATTAAATATGAAAATATTTGAACAATTTCTTCTGAATAAAAGGAAAAATCAATAATAAGACTTCCTATTTCTCCTTGCTACTGCATTGTTGGGCTCAAAAAAAGGCATGCCTTTTCAGGTTACCACTGTGCTATTCTTTCATATTTTCTGCATGTTTGAAAAAGAGTGGGAGGGATAGTTAAATGTTTTAAGGAGTTTTTCTGACCATGGCTTAAAACATAACTACAATATATTTTTAATTCCAGCACACCTGATTTTGCCCCATTATGAGATGTCTAGAGGTTGAGATCTGATGAATTCTGGCATAAACAGAGATGCTTTCGTGTCCTTGTGCAACTCTGCATATAGATACTTTTTTTCTACCTCTTAAGAAATAACATGCAATGATCATAAGCAAAAATGAGACAGAACTTAATGTTTGCAACTTACTTACTTCCTAGCTCCATCTAACAGCTCTGCACATGTCAAATGTTATGTCAAAATAAATGTCAATTGACTACTGTTGTTCAAGACACAATGCAGTCCTGAGAAAGGGATTAACTTAGTGTATTATTCCAGCACAGGAAATAATGACTTTATTAGGCCAGCCAAAGCGCTGTTCAGTTAAAACTCAGAGATTAACGAAAGCATGTTGTTTCACATTACTTTCTTCATCAATTTCTTGCTTTTCTTCCTAAAATCGAAAAGCAAATAAAGGGCCACACTGTTTGTAATACACGCTCCCAAAAACATTAAAATAATCTTTAACTCTACACTCATGCATGTCTATACAACTACTTTGTCATCAACAGATGAAGCAATGCCAGGCTACTAAGTTGAAGTTCTGTTTTAGCTGATGTCTGAAAGAGCATTCCTCGGAGTTTTGATTGGTAAAATATGAGTTCACATAAAGATTGTTCCTTTTGGCTTAGAAGGACAAGACAATACTACAACTAAAGGATATTTAATATGCATAAGCCACTATTTAGAGAAATAAGAAATACACAGATATGTTTTTATTAATAACATCTATTGTTTTTGTGCCAAGTACTGTGTTAATATGCTTCATTCATTATCTCCCTTCATAGTCAATAAAATCCTGTAAAGCTGGCATTATTTCTAGACAACAGATGAGATTACTGAGGATCAGAGGTTAACTGCCTAGCCATCACATAAGGAAGCAGAGACCTGCTATCTGAATCCAATTATCTGTCATCAATGCCCAGACTCTGCCACAACTACACAATTTATTTAAGAATATCTTATATCCTCTTTTGGGAAATAATACCTACAAAACACTAAAAATTTAAATACCATGCAAATGCTCATGTATTCATTTTTTCAAAGAATTAAGTGGGAGGATATTAGGGTAAGATCTAAAAAGCCGTGGTTAAGGTACCTCCATTAGACAAATATGCAGAGACAGAAAGCAGAACAGAGGTTACAGGGGGCTGGGGAGAGAGTTAGTTTTAATGGGTATAGTTTCTGTTTGAGGTCATAAAGTTCTGGAGATGAATGGTGGTGAGGACAAGCAATTTCTGATAACATTCAGTATCCCTATATCACTTCTTAAATGTTGTCTTTTCTCTCCTTCTTCCCCAGCTATTCTAATTGATCTTTTTTATATTAAAAGAGTCTGCATTAGAAAAGTAGGGTAATGAGGTAAGTAAAAGAATCCCCAAACATTTTCTATTTACATAAGAAACCTAGGCTATAGTTTGAGAAACAGTGCAACAAAAATCCATTTCAGTTCCTAATAAATGTCTACCTTATAATCTTACTATTGTTAAACTACAAATTAATTTATTATAAGAAACTAACCATTTCAGTTCGAAAAGTCATCTCCCGTTCTAAAGATGACAGGTGGGAAAAATGACGATCATTTTCAAAAAGTGTTACTAAATGTATCCTAGAAAAAAAATGAAGCACCATATTCTAAGAATAAGAACATTTCAAAACCAGTACTAAAATAGTTAACTAAGTATTAAAGTACAAAAACCACAAAAGGAAAAAGAATAAATTTTATAATAAATGAGATAATTTTATAATTTTCTTAGTAATTTGTGTATTTTTAGGCATTTATAATTTAGTGTAGCACACAGCTGAAATTCCTTACTTCTTGGTTCTTAATTATAATTGTTTATCTAAACTCCTGTGGTTTCTCTGTCCCCTTCCACTCTATGCCTCTAAGTCAGAACAGAGGCAAGTTTTTAAGTTTCATAAGTGATTCTATTTTAACAGTTTTGAGAAATGTCTCTGTCACTGATGAAAAACATTTGGAACACTGCTTTAAATAAAATTACTTTACATTAAAGCAGTTTAAAAATAAAGAGAATACCATGTAAGGGATCAACTTGCAAGTGCCAAAGGACAAAGAACTATACTTTAAGATATTTGATTAGTCCAACTCAAGAAAAAGCAGTAGGCAGTAAAAATGGGAGCATATGCGAAAGTAAAGTTAGTCAGCAATTATGCTACCCTAAATTTAAATAGTAGATCTTTCCAAATAAATAGAAAACAAAATTCCAAATATCAACCCTGTCTTCCACTCACCTTGATTGACATGTGAGATGTATGTCAGGGTATCAACAGCTTTAGGAAATATTTCTTCCCAGTACAGTCTTAGTTCTAAAATCAAAATCTCCCTGCAGACTAAATGGCCAGAACAGCACTGTCCCAGAAGGATATGAACACACACTTCCCAAAAGTAAAAATTCCTGAGCTCAGGTAGAAATGAAAATACATCAGAGGAAAAATATTATTTTACTTATAATTTTTACAAATAGACGACTTGTGTAAAGTAAGGTACATTATACACACACTGAAAGTCTCATTTAATCTGTATTACTACAGCCCAGTCTTTATTTTCATTTCTACTTGATTTCTAATTGACAGGTGTTACCTCTAAGCTTATGTCACTAAGAACACATAATTACTGTAAAATAAGAGTTTAAGATGAAATAAAAATGCAAAGTACACTAGGAAAAGCTAGAGGTTAAAGAAATAAAGTAGTGAATTCTTCAGTAACAGAAAAATATTTTAATTCCTAAGTGCTATTCCTCTAACACATCTGTTTTGTAAATTTTGCTACACATACTTTTTCAAAAAAATTACGTGTAAACTGGTGCACAAACACATTCTACACACATAGCAAGTGGCTATTGTTTTATTGTACGCAAACAGCAATGTCAATTTTAATCCAAATGTTTTTATTTGTTTAAAACTGAAACAAATCTTACCAGTGCAAAACTCCCACAAAGGCAGCTGGAAAAACAAAAAAAGGCATTAAAAGCTGCTTTATTATAATATACCTTTAAAACAACTATTTCAAATGCATTCCGTTATATTCCTGAAGAGCAGACACAGGAAGATGGCTAGCTAATTCTATCTACATAAAATAGGAAAAATTTACAAACTGACATAAAACAAATTATGAGTAGCGCCTTCCCTCTGCGGGGGGGAGGAAGAGTTCAAGGAGCAAAGGGAAGTTTGGAAGACGATGTTGCATTTACATAACTTGCCAAAAAAGTGGTGAAATCATTAATGATTTTGACCTTTGGAGGGGATTTTCAGTTTATTCTCTCTTCTCCCTCTTATTCTCTATTTCTTTACGTAAATTTTTTAAAACAAGCACATATATATACACGGTGCTCAGCTCAGTCCTTTCAGAAGTGACTCTAGCTTACAGGAGCCATTCTAAACCATCTTCCCCAGGGCTCTTCAGATATTGTTTTTTTTTTATTTTTTTTTTAAGATTTTATTTATTTATTTGTCAGAGAGAGAGAGGGAGAGAGAGCAAGCACAGGCAGACAGAATGGCAGGCAGAGGCAGAGGAAGAAGCAGGCTCCCTGATGAGCAAGGAGCCCAATGTGGGACTCGATCCCAGGACGCTGGGATCATGACCTGAGCCGAAGGCAGCTGCTTAACCAACTGAGCCACCCAGGCGTCCCTCTTCAGATATTGTTAAATGCAGGGAATCACTTCCTCAGCAGCACACCTGAAAGTCCCTATTTATGGAGTTTTGATTGCTCCCAGCCTAGTGGCCTCGGAGATTCATCTAGAGTCGCCCAGCCTGCACCCTATGCGTGAGGCTTTATCAGAGGGTGTGGAGATGGGTCAAACAGGATCACTATTTTGGGTATGGGTTTCTCAGGAGCTCCTAATACTGTCTGTCCCGTTTGCTGGCTGGGATGCTGCTTGTTTTCAAGGATACCATAAAACTGGGAGGGGGCATAGGATAAGGCCAGATTAAAATGCCACTAAACCCTGCTGTTCTTATACAATTGCAGTAGTGTTTTTAAATACATGCTCTTTGAGTAAACCTTTGGTTAACTTATAAAGTTTTGAAAAGTTGATTTTGACAATTTTCCAAATATTTTGGTCACTATCGTGGAGGAGTAAATTTACTCAGCTATTCCTAAAGTCCTGCCTCCCCTCCAAGATTCTATAATAGTACTTCTTACAAATGTCCCAAATACACTTGGCAAGTCATTTTAACAAACCACCAACTTTACCCTCTCAAAAATTCAAGAAATTATCTTGACTAACAAAATAAATGTGAATCGATAAAGAAATTAATAACAAACTATAACTTCAAAAAAAAAATTCCCAATCATGCTTCTCCAGAGCTTATTCTCCATATTCCTAACCATCCTGGGCTCATTCCTACCACTCTTCAATACTTCTCAGAAGACCATGATCAGCAAACTACAGCCCATGGTCTGTTTCTATACTGTCCACAAACTAAAAATGCTTGTCACAATTTTAAAGGGTTGTACAAATATGGAAGAAGAAGAATAAGCAATGGAGACCATATGTGGCCTGTGAAGCCTAAAATATTTACTACCTGGCTCTTTATAGAAAAAATACATACTACTTATGTTAGCTCTTTCTAATATGTAATATACCCTGAACCACTTTGAAATTTGACCTATACCTTCTTTCTAAAATTAAACAGATGCCTTTTTGATAAGGCTTCATTAGCTTTAAGATACATATGCCATCCTATTTCAGCCATGTTTCTTTTCTCATTCTTACTCTCTAGACAATCACATGTATTGGCAAAAACTCTTAAAAATGATGTTAAAGGAAAGGGAAAAGATCAAATATCCTACTAAATCCATCTAGCCTACCATATATCCTCAAAATACTCTTGTGTCTTTCAATCCCTCCCGACTCCACATTCCACACCTGAAAAAATGATAAAGTGTAATGATTCCAATATTCTAAATGCACGAAGTTTTATATTGCCTCTTCCAAAGATGTGATAAAAAGCATGTCTCCCGATGCCTGTATCCTGTCAATCTCACCTCTGAAAGGGACCTAGCCTTATAGTTCATTGAAACAGAGATCATTTGATGTAAGTTCTCCCAACTTCCCTTATATCCACTTTTAAAATTTCTCTACATACTAATCCTTGTTTTTCTATTCTCTACCATCTCAGCCAAGGAAGTATCTCTTCTCTTTCCTAGTTAGCTTCTCAAATTTGTGTCTCTAATTCCATCCTTCTCAAATATTCCAAGACTTGGCTCCATCAACTATTTCCTCTCTTGGAACCTAATCTCACCCTCTCCCCGAGATCTTTCTCTACAGCCTTCAATTCTCCTAAGCCTTAAAACATTTCCATTGATCTAAAAGCCCTTCAAACTATGACATATTCTGTCGCCCCCATTTGCTGATGAGATTCTTAGCCAGCTACTTTCTTCTAAGTTCCTATAACTTAAAAAAAAAAAATGACCAATGACATTTTAGTTAGCAACATCAATGGCCTCTTTAAAGTCTTATGTCTTTCAAACCTCTCTGTAGGATCTTGAATTTCTTCATCTTTTATTACACCAACTCTTCTAGTTCTTCCATGCTTCTGACCACTCTATTTTAAATGCTTTTCTGCCTCTTCCTTTTCCTCCCATCTCTTAAAACTAAGTATAAGGGGTTTTCCCAAATATCTCTGTTTTGCCCACTTTTCTTTCTTTGGGAGTATCAATCTTCAAGTTTCAATCCACTTCTATATGGATAATTCCCAAATCTACAGTCCTCGTGCTAAACTTTCTCTCTTTCCTTCCACCTCACCACCTACCCAGTCCTCACAAGATGTTTCCATTGCTCTCACCTCTGTCCTCTCTTCTCCATTCCTGTTGTTAACTATCTCATTAAAACCACTATTGCCTGGATTCCAGTATTCAATTATTTCTTTTTGCTTCTTTTTTCCATCCATCTCCAGTCTATTTTACAAACCACTGTTAGGTTAATGATGTTACTCTATTTAAAAATTATTCAATGTTAACATTGTGAATGTACTAAATGCCACAGAATTATTCAGTTTAAAATGGTTAATTCTATATGATGTGCATTTCATCTCCTTAAAGGTTTTTTTCTTAAAGAATCAATCAGTGCCTTCTACAGAATTAATTTCAAATTCCTTAAATGAAGTTTTGAATTAGACTTTTCACAGCTGGTCCCCGCCAACCTTTTGAACTGCCTTTCCACTTCCTCCTCCTTTTGTGTCTTTCCTTTTCACCTTACTTTACCTTCAGGTTTTCTGACTACTTTGACTTCAATTATGCCATTCTGCTGGCTTCTAATACTTGTTCTCTGCCTCACAGATCCAAATGTTAGCCTTAATGTCACAATTCTAATCCCACCTTTTCCTAAAAGTCTTCTCTGATCTCAATTCCCATCTCCCATCCTAAAGTATTAGTTTGCTCTTCTGAACTCTCTTAGCACTTAATATACTGGGTCATTATTTCACACAGCACTCACTGAGCACTGCCTTCGGTGTGCCAGACATGGGTGCTCAGGAGCTTGTGTTTGGGATGGCAAAACGGCCTGGTATCAAGAGCATTCTGATTCTGGATGTGGGATGTTATCTATTGCTTTAGTTAGACACCTGATAAAATGTAAGTGTGAATTCCCATCTATTATTCCTCTGGTACTTGTAACATCCCAAATGTGGAGACACCTCCTTCTTTAACATCAGCAGTCAACTTATGATGAAAAGAAATCACAACAACTTATATTAGTAGACATTTCTCTATGTTTCAATGTCTATCAGTAGCCAGTCTGATCAAGGACTAGGCTCAAATTTGATTCTAATGAAACAGCAACAACATTTAATTTAACTCAAAGCAACAGAAAAGGAAGAATGTAAATGAAGAAAATCTTTCAAGAGCTTAAACTAGAAGAAAAGTCCCCAAATCTAGGCAGTGAGGTTCCACAGCAATATGAAAGTAAATGAGTACTGACATGAGAAAATATATTGTCTGATTTGACCTTATTTCCACTATTAAAGATTCTCAACTAATTAAGCAATGCTTTACTTAAGATACAGAGCATATGTGCCCACCATTCTTAAACCTGCGATAAATGGTTGCCCTGACTAAAATGACATTTTGTTGGTGACAAAGGGGTGATCACTACACCCCAAAACCCTGGAAAATGTTTTAAAACAAGAGCAAAGGGAGCTGGAACTCTTGTCCGAGATTTTCTCGAGTTTGGACATTGTCATTAGGACGGCTAAGCTTGTTTGTTAAACTGATCTTTAAGACTCACCCAAACCACCTGACACCCCAGGCTCAGAGGGCACCCTCCAGCCTTGCCACGGCCTCTCCCGGCCCGTTCTGCTCACCTATGCCCAGAGAGGTCCTGCTGTTGACCTGCCGTCTCCGCAACTGCTGCACCTTGTCGCGGAGCTGCTCCAGCAAACAGTTGAGGAACTGGAAGCGGCCGAGAAGGAGGGTCTTTGCGACCACCTCCATTTGCATGCAATTCTGCGCGTTCGGATTTCGGGTCCTCCGCGGCGAGTAGCCTCGGGCGCCCCCCGGCAGGATCCCCCCGCCTACGGGCAACGGAGGCTGCGGCTTTTCCACCTGCGCCTGCGGCTCCTCCATCTCCGGCTCCCCGGCTCCGGTGGCCAGGCGCCGCCGCCTGGACGGCATGGCGCGGGAGGAGTGCGCCGGCTCTGAAGCCGCTTCTTTGAACTTACTCCTCGTCTGCCCGACCATTTTCTCATAGTCCCTGTTCGGATGGAGCTGGGTCTCTCTGGCGCGGGCCCCGCCCGGTCGGGCGAGGTCCCTAGGGTCCTAGTTCGGCTCACAGCCTCAACGACTTGCCCCGGCCGCCGTTGCCGGCCGCCCGGTCGTCATGACGACCGGGAAAGCTGAAGGGCGGGGCCTGAGATCCCTGCGGCCCTGCGCTGCTCGTGCGTCCTCCACGCGCCCCGCGCACCATCTCGGCGCGCAGGCCACGCGCACGGCCTTAGGGCTCTGCGTCACGTGCATCCCCCCAGGCGCACCGTCCGCCGCGCGGCGCCGACGCACTGGCCCACGCAAGTCCCGCGCGCATCCTCGCGCGCCCGAAGACTTGTGCCCCGCTGGGCTGCAGGGTCCGACGCGCTGGTGGGGAGGTCGGAGGAATTCTCTTCGATTTCTTTCTTTTTTTCCAGTACAGGCTTAGCTTTTTTATTTTTACCAAAAGGTCATTTCTACCGAAACGTCTGGAAGTAATTAAAAGGTAAGCGATCTTAGTTGAAAGAAAGAGCCATAGAAAGAGCGAGGGAAGAAAGGGGTGCGCCTCCCACTTTGGGAACAGCTTTCTCCCTGCCCTGAACACCTTGCATTGGACATTGAGTTTCTCCTACATAGTGGGATTGGCCCACGGCCATAGGCAACATGTGGCAGAACAGGCCGAGCCAGGTGAGTCTAACCTCAAGGCCCCGGGTTGGCCCAACAGCTGGCTGATACCGGCTTTCCCTTTGGAGGACGGCGTTTATAAATCCATTCTTGAAGTATGTGGGCCTTGAAATTGAAAGTGATTTTATCAGAAAAAAAAAATGTGTTTATTAAGGAATAGCAGAGAAATGCAATTCAGGACATATGGGCAAAACGATAGGCAAGTACAACAAAGGAGAGAAACTTTGGAGAAGGAGCCAGTTGAGAGGGGTTATTTTGAACAAAAATCCACTGGACAACATTAAGAGTGCACGGTGAAGAGGACTTCTCATTGGAAGAGTTGCCGGCTTAGCGAAGTTCTTGCGGGAGATAAAATTTACACCTTTTCCTGTTAGGGCTTTTAAGGGATGATTCTTTGTAGTTGTTGAGTCTTCCGTTCGGGGTCTGTAGTTCACCTCCACTGGCACAGTGAGGGAGCTCCCCCTTCTGGCCTATAGACTCCATTTGAAATGAGGTTTCCTTTTATTAATTTTCACAAGTGAAATTATGTGTCCCAAGAATGTTGCCAAGACAGAACTCCTTGCGCATAGAATCATTGTGCTCAGTGCTCTCACCTTCCTAAACCAGACCCTACCAAGCCCCATAGTCACTACATAGCCATACATGATGCCATAGCAGCTGGCAAAGCTTTATGGACGGGGTTCATTGATATTTTCCACGTCCTCTGGCACCACTGGAGTCCACACTGTTTCACTTTCCATTTGTTTTGAACTCCCTAATCCCCACCTCCCCCATCTAGTAATCTATGGCTCATTATGGTCAGATTAATTTTCCTGATACAACATCTCTCAGAAATGTTCATGGTTCTCATAGTCCACAAATGAAATGTAGTGTCTTCAATAATGTGCCCCAATCTGCCTTTTCAACTTTAATTTTCCACTTCTGTGGACACAGATCTTCCATTAATTTTGAGTGAGTTTAGAAGGAGTTTGAGTTACGCTCTCTGGAGATTGTGAGACTTCATAACTATCCCTTTACTCATACCAGAAAACTACCATATGCATTTCTCCCTGTGCATCTGAGTTCTTTCACCTTCCAAGCCCCAGCCTACATTAATTCCCCCTTCTCTAAAGGTCTAAAGCAACTATCAACAAGTATTCATCTTGTTACTTATTTAAACTCAGTAAGTTCTGTTACAAATTTGTTTTGTAAGCTTTATTCAGGGAGCATTTCTACATTCCTGGCACTATGGGTTTTTTCTTCTTCTTCTTCTTCTTCTTTTTTTTTTTATTGGTGCTTAAAATATTGTCTCATTTAAGTCATATAGTAACTTTGTACAAGTTAGAAAACTGAGGATCAGGGCTATAGTAATTTGCCCAAGTTTTAACAGTTAATAAGTTGTCCAATAGTGAGTTTAAAATGAAAGGTATTTATAGGGTGGCTGATAAAAATATATTATTGAATAAATACGCAAACTCAAAATACCTTATTTTTTTAAAAGATTTTATTTATTTATTTGACAAACAGAGATCACAAGTAGGCAGAGAGGCAGGCAGAGAGAGAGGAGGAAGCAGGCTCCCTGCCGAGCAGAGAGCCCAGGACCCCGGGATCATTACCTGAGCCGAAGGCAGAGGCTTTAACCCACTGAGACACCCAGGTGCCCCCAAAATGCCTTATTTTTATGTTTTAATATTTTTGAGAACAGTAAGTGGAATGTTATATTATTTTTATTAGAGTTATATTAGATTCATAAAACGAACTGGGTAGATTTGGACCTTTTTGTATTAGAACATCTGGTTTGGGAACCTTTTTTATCCTTTAATCTTTCAGTTTCCTTCATGGTTATTGGTCCATCTACATTGTCTGCCTCTTCTGGGGACAATTTGAGAAATTTGTATTTTCCCTTAGACATTTCAAGTTGGCTGAATTCTGCATCCTACTCTACCTGAGGTTAATATGATTATGTGTGTTTAAAAAAAAAAAAGTGATTGCCCGATGAATCTGTTTATCCATAAACTCTGTGTGATTTTAACAGATGTGTTTCTTTTAAGCTGTATGTTGTTGAAAATTTTTAAGATAATCTGAGGGTCCTTGTTTATATAGATTATTCATTTAAGTGATTTTATATACTTTATGTTTTTTTCATGAGGGGTGGGCATTTTTGTGGGAAGGAAGGAGTGGCTGCTACTGGGAAGTTGACCAGATGTCATTTTCAGTGCCATTTTCCTATATAGTTCTGTAGTGAACGTTCTGATTTTGGTTTCCTACCCTTCCGTTTATGTTCCATTTCTTATGTTACACTTTTTGGTCAATTTGTTTGCTTCCTGGAATTTCCAGTTGCCTCTTGGATCACTGATTGTATTAACAGAATAAAGCATATTCTTATATCCTTGGTTTAGCCCTTGAAAGTACTAATATGGTCACTTTTTCTATTTAAAAAATAATTTTTATAAGAATATTCATTGTATTATTGTTTCTACTGGTGAAAATTAGAAACAATCTCAACATCAAATAATGAATTATAGAACACTCATGCAGTGAAGTGTCCCCACATTGACATATTCATTCATTTGAATATTGAATAATATTGAAAATACTCATGATATAGTGTTTAAGGTGTAAGAAGCAGAATGTATATGATTTAGGCATATAGTAAATACATGATTAAGTATATATCAAGTTCCATTTTAAATCTTTTACATAGTGAACTCATACGTGGAAGATTCCTGTGGTGTGACCTTAAGCTAGTAACTTAGCCACCCTAATAGTAATCTTCTGAAAAATGCTGAAGCACCTAAAACAAATACATGCTTAATTTTAAAAAAAGTTCCTATATCTTGTCTAGATGACCGTATTAAAATTATACAGGTCAGTATTACTTAATATTTTGCTAACCTGAATTCTTTTTCATTAAATTATATTTCTGTGCAGTTCTATTACTAGACAGTAATATGAGTTCTAGGTTCATTAGTTAACTTTAAAAAAACTGAGAGACCGTTGCATAAATATGCGTTTTCTTACTAAGAAGAGGAATAGATTTGTGTATGTGAGGGAAAACATAGCTGAATAGAATCATGGCACATTTTCATCTTTCTATAACTTCCAACAGCAGTCACTTATTTTACTTAGTTATTTTGAACAGTTATTTGAGTTGTATATTAGCTACATTCTTATTAATGACAATATCTTAAACCAATATGCCTGATACTTATCTATGATGAACTGATAATTAAAATAAAACATTATAATTTGAGGGGCACCTGGGTGGCTCAGTGGGTTAAGCCATTGCCTTTGGCTCAGGTCATGATCTCAGAGTCCTGGGATCGAGCCCCACATCGGGCTCTCTGCTCAGAGGGGAGCCTTCTTCCCCCTCTCTCTCTGCCTGCCTCTCTGCCTACTTGTGATCTCTCTCTCTCTCTCTCTCTCTCTCTCTGTCAAATAAATAAAATCTTTTAAAAAAAATAATTGATATAATACAATATATTCTTGAATATTGTATCCTATTTAAAGTGAATATGCCTCGTGATTTAGCAAGTCATTTCTCTTACCTAGAGATTTCTAATTCAGTCTGTTATATAAAACTCATTTGTTTTCTCTTTGTCTCTCTTAGTAAAGCCATTGGTAATTTTTAACCCCCAAAAATGCAGTGAAACAAAATAACCAGCAGATGGCAATAATGACTTATAAATCAGAATTTTAAAAATTTCAGTAGTTTTAAAATTTGTTCTTAAAAAAAGAAAAAAATCACTATTCTTGTAATAAATCAGTTTACTAAATATGACATGTAGGGAAACTCCAAATTTAATCCCACATAAAAATAATTCTGTTGCATATTTTATATATCAAATGATTAAGATACTCACGACCAACATTTGGTTTTTGAAATAATAATGACTGCTTAAATTTATTCAATTAATTTTTTATCAAGTTTAAATGTTTGAACTTCACATAAATATAAATTGAAGTGGATAGCTAAGTTATATCTATATCTAGCTTGATTATATGGATCAGGAAAGAGAGGTAATTCAGAACATCATTTTGAAAAGGTTAAATTTTCCACTATAATTTAATAACTTACCAAACCAATTTCACTTTAATTAATACTCTTCTGCATAAAAGATGGGTTTTTATCTGTGTTGTTTCACACTTTCTTATACATTAAGGTACTTTTTTCCTCTTCAGCGGTACAAGGAGTTGGAATTGGCGTCAAAGTGTGTACCTCTAGCCTGTCACCATTAGATACTTCCACCAAAGATGGTAGCAGAGTTTTTAGGATCTCATAATTATGTCAACTGTAATTGAACTGCATATCCAAGATTCTTTTAGAGCCATTT